CCTGCTTTCCCATCCTCCTCCTTCTCGTTTTGGCATTATCTTCTGCTTCGCTGCAAGTAGGTACACATAGCAGGCGAGGAAAAGCGAGTCGTACTGAAAAGGGGTACAGCACTCTCAGAGATCAAAATCGAACCGTAATCGTCTTGGCGCCACAAAACTATATCGATGTTTATACTCCGCATCGCCTTTTGTGCCCGCAGCCATTGATGACTTTGGCCCGATCCGCTCCATTGCAATCCCCCTAGCCCCAATCCAAGTCGTCGACCACTGTAGCACACTGTAGTGTTCAAAATTTCTTTACATCAACAAAATTTATCGCTCCAAGACCGAGAGGAAAGAGCGAAAACTATTCGGGTGAACGGGAAAATTGAGCAAACCCGAGGGGGAGATGGGGAGGTTTAATGGTAATGATGTTCTGATGAGAAGAGGAATGAGACTTGCCGCTTGGATGGACTTTGGCGCGTAGCAGCAGCGGACTGTTAAATGATCCGCATCCGAAAAGCTTCTCCACCCAAAGCTCAATCCCATCATCGGGCACGGCACGACAACGGTGGAACGTTGTTGACCGATTGCGTTGACTTTTCGTAACTGATGAGCTGTGAAACTTGGGTGATGGTTCTGGAAATAGGCAAATCATGGTCTAGCTAGGTGATTTGCTCTGGAGAAAATCAAGACGGCGTACGGGAGGGTTGTTTTGCTATTGTTCGAATTTTGTGGTAAATAGCACGGCTCATCAACTGTGAGCGACAAAATAGCAAATAAACTCTCAATCTGAAGCAGTTTCGGGACGTTAATTTTGTCAACATTTTCCGTTAGAGGAACCTACACATTGACTACGTTAGGTGAAGCGTTGTTATCTTTAATTTTACTACGTTCAAACAAAACTGCATTCGTCTCCATAGCTTCCTTTGACTGACCTTCAACTTCAATCAGTCATGTTTTCTGTTCATGTTTCGAAAAACAACAAATCACCATCTACATCAATATGCCATCCGAAGTACAAACCATATTGAAAGCAACTTTTGGTAAACAAAAACCGAAAATTCCCCGTCAAATACTGTTCGACTTGTCAAAGGTGGTCGGGGGATGGAGGAGAGCGGGGAAGAAAGCAATCACGAAATCACTCTCCACCGCGTGCGCCAGCGGAAAAGTTTCATCGGAAAAACTCCACCAATAAATAAGTAGCATTCTTCCGGTCTGCCTGCCAGCGACGCCGTCCGGTACTTCGACGGCGCTGAGAAAAAAAGCGAGCAAATATTTGATTAAACATCGACAAATATCATAAAACGGGATCGTAAATCGCACGGCAGCAATTGAACTAGCTTTATGGATGGAAAAGAGGAGGAAAAGTTGCACGAGTAATGGCACTTAAATAGTTTACAACAGGCTTCCCGAGTTTTCGGTCAGTTTGCCGCTTCATTGACAAAATCTTCCCCTGGAAAAAAGGAAGAAAGTAGCAGGAGGTCGATGCTCCGTGCATCTTGAAAGGTCGGTGGCAATTTATAGCGATTCTTCGAAGGAAAGCCCTTTCTGAACTTGTTCCTGTTTCGTTCTGTTCTGTCTTTCTAGGCATAAAATGAACCCATTAGCAGTCATAAAGTGAAGCGGCGGCGGCGGCACTGGCTATTTTTGGCTGGTTCTCAAGCATAAAGCCCATAAACACACACAGGCGCTTCTGGCTCCTCGTACAAGGCTCCGGGCGAATTTTCCACAATAAATATTCATAAACCGGGGCGTCCCCTGCTGGCTAACTACATCGAGACGTTGGCGGGATTCTTGGCTTGGCTTCTGCTGGTCATTCTTGGTCGGGTCTCTGTACGGATCGTAAATCTGGGAACGTCAAAAAGTAGGCCATGCCATACTGCTGTTGCTGCTGGTGGTGCTACAAGCCAAACATCAAAGGCGGCCATGTCCCGTATCTTGAATGTCGATAAAGTGAAGTAGTTACTTTTTTACGACACAATCCGGTTGACGTCGACCTGGTAGCATGTCACACTAGCGCCGCCGATCCGTTTCACACGACCAGAAGCTGTAGCCTACGACGGCCGGTTTTTCCGGTGCGGTTCCATTCATTTTCCGTTCGGTTCGTTCCAGGAGTTGACGAGCTTTATGACGTTTTTAAGAGATTTTTCAATTTTCTACACTTTAAACTAATTTTATGGTTCTGTACCGATTTGCGTTTCGCCCCTTCCCAACTAGTGCCGGTGCTTGTAGGCAACTTTTATGGCACTGATTTATAAATCTTCCCCTTTCTTTATGTAAACCCGTTGCGTAATCCAAAAATTTAACGACTTTTCTGTCATATTTAATAGACTTTTTTTTTCTCTCATGCCGTCAACTCCCGGCACGGTATCGTAAAATCTCTCATACAAATAATTCCGCATAGATTATGTAAATGGGTTCTCTAACTAGCTTCGGGTGCGTTTACGGTCCGTGACGGAGCGGCTCATCACTCGCTTGAGATAAAGTGAAATTGCCCGTTTACCTGTGGTGAGTTTGGCTAATTGGAACAGTTTTGTGGTTAATTTATTTCCATAGATAAAACAAGGAGTTTCCATCATGACCACGGTGGAATAAACTGCGGGAAAGGGGTATGACCATATGACCTCCAACGAGGTATTATTTAGGTAGGTGGAGTTTCGATGATCCCTGCAGCGAGAATCGTGCGTGGACTTTGACATCCGCAGCCAATCGTGTCAATTTTACGCTTTTGATTTCCTAAATACCCAACTAGAAATTCAGTTACGGCCCACCCCTGACGGCGGGCTAATAGATTTCAATCCAAGTAAGCCAGAATCCAATTCGTTCCACCACTGACGGGCTGCTTCGATCGGGGCGAGAGAAGCTTAAAACGAATTAAAATCTCTGCTTGTTCTCAATCAGTTTTAGAACCCGCACCTCACATACATACTCACGGGTCACGCCTGATGTGTGACGAGATTGTTGAACCGTAACCTCAAAAGTCTATCGTTTATAATTGGATTTTTTGGCGAGTGTCGGAGCGAAATGGGAAAATTTTGTTTCCATTTCGACAGGGTAATTAATGTGCTCGACCTTCCGGGGCTGAAACATCGTCAGCAGATCGGGGCTGCGTAAAATATATGAACCTCAGCACTTTATTAATTGGAAAATCGGCTGCTAGTTTGACACAATTACCATGAAATAGTACTTGACGAATTGACAGATTTACAATTACCAATCGAGTTGATATCGGCTGAAATGCTGTTAATTAGCTAAAACTACCGATGCTGACAGAGTGCGGTTATCGAAGGCCTTTTGATCATTACGTGATTGTAATCGAGATTACCTCATTTCTACCATGACATTAAAGCTGGACTCAACCCCTTCTTGTGACAGCACTCACACTCACAGTTGCATACTGACACGCTAATTTTACGTCATCCTGTCATGTCCAATCGGAATCAGACGCACTCACTTCACCGATCTAGAAGGTCCTGGACGTCTGTCATAGGCAAAAAATAACCTCAAGGCCTACCACGGTCCCGCACATCCGGACAGGGTTGGACATTATGCCGGCAAATTAAAATTATCACCATATCGCATACCACCGGACCTGGACCGGTGATTTAGTTGGGGCTCTTCGTCCTATGCTTTATGCTTCTGCGAGGGTGGGGCGTGCAATGCGTGATTGATAATTGCTCAGACAGCGTACGGAAATGAGATTTATGATGATGAGACCCTGCACACTAGCTCTAGCCCGCAAACATCAAAGACTAGTCAGGCAGGATAACGACAACAACAACAACAACAACAACAACAACGACGACAACAATCGTTGGTTCATAAATCACAGCATGTCATGACATCGCTTCTACCGGTTTGATTCGCGTCTCGTCCGTCGTCGTTCGGCAGAGCATGAGGAGATGTTTTCGCCCTAGCTGTCATTGATGGGTGTGTGAGACAATAATAACAATAACAACAACAACGACATCCAGAACGTCACAAATATTAGCCGGATCAGAATCCGACAAATGGCGAGAAGCAGGTGAGTGAGTGAGTGCGTGGTAATGATAGTGATTATTGCGATGTTCATTTCGCCGGTGGCTAAAATGCTTCGTCGGATGAGTTTGGATGATGACGATGATGAGCAAATTATTATGTACTCTGGCCATCAGCACACGCATTGGTACCTAGCGCAAGTTTATGATGCAGCGAGACTCGACAACATTTACCGGACTCGTGCCGAGGAATTATGTGTCTGTGTACGAATGTAAACACATTATAGAGACTATCGCTGGAATTATGATAAATAGGTGACAGTTGTGGGCTGCGATTAAGTCGTTCCGCTTCTCACGTGGATTGTCTTGTTCGCTTGGAACACACTGTTTATAGACACCGATTGGTGGCCAGAGTCTGTGAGGAACTCGGTCGTTGGTGATCGACATTTGAAAGAGAAAGTTGTCAGGTCATATGCACTCATAATGATGCACAGATTGAATCTTACATGAATTATGGAAATTTTTGACAGAAACCAACATAAATTCATGATAAATTTAGAGTCAAAATGAAGGAACTTCAGAAAAGTTTGATGACAACTACTGGAAGAAATTAATAGCGGTTAACATCTTCATAAAAATGCCAGTGAGCAGTTTTAGCCCAAAAAGCGAAAATAAAATGAAACGATTCAAAAACGACCTTCTCCGATTTGTATGAGACTTTTGGTCTCGAATTTCTATCAAAACCGGCTTCTGATAACATCGACAATGAAGCTAACCAGCTGTGAGACTATCAAATCGCACAAATGTTCACCTAAATCGCTTGCAAATACCTATATATCAAACGTTTTTATTTCATCAACGTCGTTACTCACCTTCTTACCACTTCATGTATGTATGTGTATATTTACGTGCGCATCAGATTCATTCCTCATCAAACCAATCAATGCAACGGCACCTTTTTCACCTCATCCGCCCGCACAATTGAAACCGTAAACCATAACTAACCTGTCTCTTTCAATCTCTCTCCCCAACCCCCGCCAGGCTGCCTCCTGGACGGAGTTCCGCCTTCAGCTCCACCAGATGTACCACCGCGTAATCCAACAATGAATCGGATGAATGGTCGCGTCACCGGTAACCCTACGGAGCTAGGCGTCGACTTTGAGCCGTCGTGTCTGGTGCGAACGCCATCGGGCAACGTGTACATTCCGAGCGGAAATCTAGGTAAGACCATCCCGTCAGGACAACGACGACGACGACGACAACGATGCGACGATTCCGAGTCTGAGTGCAGAGATAGGATAAACATTGGAGGAGGATCATATTTCTCAAAACGCTGAAAACCCTTTCCTTACCCATCTGTTGGTCTGTTGAACAACTTCCACTCGACGTCAACTCGAAAGACGACGGCGCTGGGAACGGGAAATTGAAGCTTCTTTTGATAAATTATTTAATAGAAATGTTAGGCAAACATACCCACGAAGCCACCCACGTCGTCGGGATCGAGTTCCAGTAGCTCGCAACTAACCCGTCATAGTGCTAAGTAAACAAACAATGGCACACTAGCGACTGCCGACGACACCCAAAAACGGTGCGGAACTACTCCGTGATCGACCGGGCAGGAGAGTTTCCATTTCGGGTGTTGGAGGGTGTATCGAAAATTAATTAAAACTTCTGTCAATTCACGTTGAAGCAGCCACCTGTACGAGCAGCCAGCCAGCAGCGGCAATGTCACAGGCGTGCCTCTGAGAGCCTCTTGTTTGTTTGTTTCTGGCAGATGATCAAAAACACCAACATTCGCTTTTTTAATTGGATCCCTTAGCGAGTTATGCTGGGATGGCTAGGTTAGGGATAGAGGCAACATTCCATTGCGAAAAAAAACCGCTCACTAGGTTGGTATGCAATGCGAAACTACCTTCTGGTTGACATGTGTTCTGTGTGAGGTTAGGTGACTTTTGTTCCATGGTTATTGAATTTCAAAGATCTGACGGTGGGTTGTTTTTTTTACCTGTGGTCAACGAAATTCGAATCCAAGGCCTAGTGCTATGTGGAAAGTAAACAATAGAACTTGTGTAATGGTATGCCTCACCGATACCATGCGCTGGTTGCTGTTGATTGGGATTTGGCACGGACAGGTTGTGCAGCGGAAGCTGAATTTAATTACATGGCTTTTGTTAGGTTAGGAGTAGAAGCACTACATTGTTAGGATTGGATTGGGACATTGAAAAAAAATCAGAGATTGTGTCATGGGTTCAAAATTATCATATTTGAAATAATTATTGATGACGAAAACAGTTTAGTTCATTAATCAATTACTTTATTCTTGCGCTTTACCGTGAAATGGTCTAATAGTCAATCTACAGTCAATCATCCGTAACACGAAACTGAATGCAACATTTAATTAGAGCAGATAATGAAGTACGGAGATTCATCTTGAATTTTTTTATGGGAAAAGTGTTTAACTTGGGTGTCCATCGAGTGAGGACCAGTAAGGGAGAGTTGACTGTACTAATAAGTGAATATTGAATCAAAAATAACGTGAAAGTGTCTCCCAGTAATATTCATTGGAATCGCTTTACCCCATTACCAAGGTCGATAAAATAAATTATTCTTAGCTCTAAACTCTGAAACATTTTTAAGTGCCAGATTTATAGAGCAACGTTTCTCAAACTTTAGTCTACCCACGTTCAGTCGGCATAGGGTAAGTGAGCAAGTTTTTGGCCCTAGTGGTCCTCTAATTGAACTTAATTTTCATTTTTATTAGTTTTTTTATCAAATGTATTTCGATACTAGGTTAGAGCATATATTTCGCCATATAAAATCTTAAAAATTTATTTCAAATTTGAGTTAAGCCCTAGGGCCAAAAACTAGAACACTATTGCCATAACAGGCACACTTACCATAGTGTGGAAAAAGGAACTCATAACCCTAAATAATTAACGCTCCAGCGCACATAAGAGAACGATTAAAGTGTAGGTTAACATCAGAGATACACATTTAATTAAGTGCTTAAAATTGGTTTCTTGCTTGTTTGGTACCAATTTAAGGTGGCTATTCAGTCAGATCCACACTAAAACAAATGAAAGTAATAAAGATACAGCCCAGGTAACAAATTGATGCTTAACAAGTGTTCTTTCAACGATTTTAATTCAGGCTTAGTTTTAATAATTGTTGCACCATGTTCAGCCTTAATTTTTTATTTAAAAAAATATAATGGAAGACCGCTTCACATCTTATATTTTTTTTCATGAGACTGCTTTAGAATGTTGCTGACTAATTGGATTTACATATTTATATTGTTATTATATGTCAAAAAAATTACCTTTACATTTCGGGATTCGAACCGGCAGTCGCTGATTCACAGGCGTCAACTATACCCACTCGACCACATAAGCATATTTGAGGCAGAAGGTATGATCATTAACATGAAGCACGTCAAAATTAAGATGAATAATAGCAACCGGAAGAGTATTATACAGCAATCCCGAATTATAAACAATAAATTGTGACAGTAAAACAAATCTCTCTCATTTCAAGTGCAGTAAACACAATGTGGACACAAGTGCGCGATGTATTTCGATGCTATTTTAGTGCTATTATTGAATTCTATTTTTGAAATGCGGTATGAAAATTAAGTGCAATATGAAAGCCTCCCTAATAAAGATAAATAATAATAATAATAAGTGCAATATAAAGTGGTGAACAGACAAAACACAGGAATACTAATGTTAATACTTCTGACGTCGTCGCAGTCCACTTCTAGGTGGAACTATTCTTAAAAAGCTCCTCTTCCTTGTCAATTGTCTCTACTGCTGGTGCTGCTTGGGATTAGAAAGGTAGGCAGTGAATTTAGAATAACTAAAATGTCGGAAATGCAACTGACGACATTTAACAATATTGTGCAATAAATTCATATTATTCTATCAAGCTATCAGAATATTTGTAGCGTATTGCTGGTTTGTGGAGTAGTATTAAGCTTAAATCAGTCTTGTTCATTCTTTATATCAGCTAACTTACTGAGGTTGAATTATGGGGATACAATTCGCTTCATGCACTACTAATCAACTGTATATTCAGCCTGGTGTTAATCAGCTTCGTATACCTTAAATCAACCAATAACCAACCTTTGTTCTTACAATTTAGCTTGAATTGTTACTTGGGAGCTTTCATTTACAACCAGTTTCATCAAACCCGGCAATTTTCATAAAAATCGGTAAAAATATACCTATTTTGACCTGTATTAAAAAAAATAGATTCGACCTTATGTACATATTAAGACTCTTGGACTGGACTAGATTTTTAGGATATAGTTATTTTGAAGAACCATTAAGAGAATTTACCCCTTTTTTTCCAAAGCAATTTTGGGCAGATTTTAGAATTATTTCTAGAGATAACACCAAGGTATTTCAAAGAAAATGTTCTTTGGAATGAACTCTTAAAGAGTATTTTACTAGAACTCCAAGTCAATTGTGTTAGTTCAGAGTATTTTTTAAGTAGCTCTGTGAACAATTCTATGGTGATTGTAGAGAGAATTCCAGGAGCCATGAAAAATAACAAGGAAGTCAAATTTTGCGGGTCAATGGAATTAACCACTTCATTCGAGCAGATAAAATGACGTTTACTTAACTTTGAAATGAAACATTATTTTGAGATTTTTTGTTTCAAAACCTCGAGAAAAGTAGCCAACATTTGTGCGTTTCACAAAAAATAGAAATTAGTTGGTCCAGTTTTGTGAAATCGCTGGTAGAAAGTCACACCAAAACTGCTTGACAAAGTGGTCAATTGTACGAAGATTTTTAAGGAAATTCCAAGGATGGTTTCAGGAGCATCTCAAAAAGAATTTATAGATAGCTTAAGAAGAATATTCACAAGAATTTAGAGGAGAACTCAAGGATCATTCTAAAAAAAAGGCAATTCAAATGTGGATTGCATGGGAATGATAAGGAGAATTCAAGCGAATTAAAAAAATCGACGTATGGATTAGCGAATTCTTAAAAATAAAGTTTAAAATTAGTTCAGAATATAAAGACGAATTTCATGAATTTTTTTAATGTTCTGCAGAGAACTTCTGGATGATAAAGACTCTTAAATTAATTTAATAAGAAGACGCCATAAAAAAATTGTGACGGAAAATGATTTTAAAGGAAATAAGTAACGGCTCTAAACTTAGTGTTTTTTGCGTGGCAAGTACAATTTTCGAGTAACATTTGAAATGGGCCCATTTCCAAAACGTAAACAAATCGGGTTTTGATACCATTCTTTAGCACCGCTTGATAGCTACTAATCGTGTAGGAAAGTTCCGCATAATCGAGAAAAATCATTAAAAATAACTCGATTTTTGAAACGGCCAATCAACGAAATTTTTCAATTAATTAATAGGCCCGCACGCTAAAATGGCCAACAATTCATTTATTTCATTTCATTGATAGGCTAAGCCAAAGCTAGGCCCTACTAGATGAAACAGGGCCGATGATTTGTGTTGCATTTATTTGACGTTGCGAAAAGGCAAGCCGTTGTCTTAACAAAAAGGGCCAATGGAAGATTCACAAAAAGGCTTATTAATTTATGAAATTAAATGTAATCGATTTTCATATAGTTTTGAAAGGTTTTCACATAGTTTGGATGTTGTCTACTGAGATACAGTTACTATTGTTATTGTGAACAATATAAATGTCTAAATTAGGGGAAATGTATGTAATGTCGGCCTAAATGTCCCTAATTTGGGCCCATACATAAATTCAGCAATCGACTAAATTTTCAATAGCGACCAAAAATATCCATAAGTACCGTCCCAATGACGCGTTCATCTAGATAAAATTGATAAATCGCATATTTTTAGCGATGGGCCCACTCTTAGATCCATAGGCCAACATTAGAGCCATTTCCCCTACTTCAATTTTCTTAAATATGAATTGAATAATGGCGGAAAAATTTGAAATTCATTTTCTGGTTTGTTTACGTTTTGTACATAGGCCCATTTCAAATGTTACTCTAGAATTATACTATATGCCCAGGAAAGTCAACAAATGTTTCAACCCAAAAATTTCTAAACCGGACCAGGAATCTAATCCAGCTGCCTACAGGAGGGTCATGCTTTATAGTATGACAATAATATGAATGCTCATTTATCACAATAAAATATATTAAAATACCTCGAATGATTTCAAAAAAGTGTATCTCCGTCCAAACTGCAAGGGCTGCCAAGCGTCGAATTGAAACGACGA